CGCGACTTAGCCGTTTACCACGGTGCATAAAAACAAACGCAAATTGTACCATCTACAAGCACGCAGTGCAGATTTTTCATAAGAAAAATTACGAGAAATTCATAAAATTTAGCATTGCATTTTAATTTTTTTGACTTATAATAATTGGAAAATCCAATTTGAACTTTTTTTAAATCTTCTTTAATTTTATTGATTTCACCTAAGCTTCAATAGCAATTCGATAGGAATAAAGTATACTAATAACGCTAAGAGTTGATATAGATCTAGAAGTCCTGGGTATATGCCCCGGGTCTACCTTTTGCGAAAAAAATGTCAGTCTATGACGACACAGTGAATTTATATAGAGCCGAGTTGAAATTGAGATTTTAACTGTAATTCTACCTGTAAAGAGACTAAAATTAAAGGCACAATTTCACAGACAATCTTTCCATTTTGTTAATGTTAATTACACAGGTAATAAATTACACAGGCGTATGTCAGAAATATATTTATTTTTAGTACACATTTAATAGTTTTTATTTCATAATTATAAAGTTAAGACACACATAGCTTACATTGCTACATTACAACAAAATTGATATAGATTTAAATGTAGAAGGTATACTAAAATTTATTTTTGTGGTACATTTTAATCTAACACACGCAAATATGTATTTTTGACTTGCATTGTAGGTACATAAATGGCTAGTTGAGACGGTGTTATTAAATAATTAGAGAACTCAGAATTAAGGTAAAGCACACAGAAAAGTGCAAATATACATATTAATTTTTATCAAGATTTACTAATTGCACTATAAAATTTTAATTTATACCAAAAATGGATATAATATCTAAAAGAAATTGTAAAATTTACAAATATTGTGGAAGTTTCCATTTTATTATAGAGACAACAATTGTAATTAATATATCAAATAAAACCATATTTCTCTTTAAAATTTCAGCTAAAAAGACGCATCAACCACCCACCAGTTGAAATATTTCAACTGATCCTATTCCATTTCTCTTAATGTTCCTATACATTTCAACAATATAAGAAAAAAATTAATTCAGGCAACACTAAGTCGTCTTCATGTATAATAGTACATTTTTATATGCAACATGGATTTAAATACCAAAAATAATTTACTAACTACATACCGTCTAAATCTAAACTTATTTTCAGTCATAACTAGGTACAAATGGTTTTAAACAGATATTATTCAAAATAATAACATTATAACTCTGATTGAGCTCGTAGACCAATTCAGTCTTATATAAATTTAAAGAAATAGCTACAAATAGTAGGAGAGCCCAAGAGGAGATTTTGGGATTTACTCAGGCGCGGCAAATTTAACATGAGGGGGATACCTTGCACTCTGTTGAGTACCTCCACTATATATAAAAGAATAAAATTACATATTAGTTTCACATATTTTTATTTACAATAATAACATAAAAATAACAAGAGAAATTCATAATCTTCATAGAAATTTATAATTATATAACAGAAATTAAATAAATAGTTAATACCTCTATTACTGAAATAATTCATGTATAAAAATTATAATTAATTTATAAAATAAAATTCATTAATTTAAATGGGTAAACACTTCTCTAGATTCAAACTTTAGTTAAATTAATCACCAATAATATAATAAAAACCACTCTATCACAATCACTATAACACAATCACTGATAACACCGTCCCTATAACTTCACAACACGTCCGAAGTCGACTCGCTTCTGAACCGCTGTGTAGATTCCCTGCCTTTTTAAAAGTTATAAGTTATAACTTTTAAAAAGGTAGGGAATCTACATGCCTTATAACTTATATGGCATTGTCGGCGCCACTAGTAGGGTAAACTCAGCTGTCAATTGACATTTCGTATTAATTAATCATGATTTCCGTTGCGCCACTAGTAGGTTGAAATTAGCAGTCAATTGACATTTCATATTTATTAATTTAATTATATAATTTTTGTTCTTGCGCCGATATATATATAGCTCCTCCGTATAAGATCGCGCGTCTAGGACAGCCGATCAGAATGTTTAAAAAATATTTTGGTGAGATAGAAATATTTGAAACCGTCAAATTAAGATGTGGTGGGCTAATTACATGCTGAAAAGTGTACAAACAATCTGCCGGTTTCCACAAGCCGAAGAGACAAAATCTTTCATAAAGTTTGTTTTTCTATTCTACTTTTATAAAGAGGAAAAAAGTTTTTTTGTTTGTTTGTATCCAATAGACTCCTAAACTACTGAACCGAAATTTGGTAAAAAGATAGTTTGAGGCCCTGGGAAGGACATAAGTTTTTATCCCGGAAATCCTTTAAGGGGGTGAAAGTTTGTATGAGGAAGCAACCTAGGAAGTAGAAGCAACTCGAAAGTATTAAATAAAAATATATATATATTTTTTAAATATTCTGACCGGCTGCCCTAAACGCGCGACTTTATACAGAGGACTTATATATGAAGGAGGTACATAACAGAGTGTAAGGTATCCCTCCTTATGTTAATCTGCCGCGCTTGAGTAAATCTCAAAATCCCCTCTTGGACTATCCTACTAGAGATATTTATTTCATTTTAACGCATTTGTCATCAAAAAACCGATGTAATGTTTCCTATTGAGCAAATTTTATATAAACTTTTAGTTAAATCGTAAGTTATATTTATTGAATAATATCAGAACAATAATCATATAAGATTACAAAAGGCATTAAAAGACCCATTTCATTCTGGATGCAATTCATTAAAAATATATAATAATTAATATTATTTGTAGACTATCAGATCATTTATCAACAATTTGATATTAAAAATATTTAACAATGAGCGATAACTGAGTATAAGATGAGTATTGGACCACTCATGTACCGTTATAAAGACAGGGATAACTATAGTGACGATTAAAATTAAATATTTTTTTGTTGTATCCTTTCAAAGGATGATAGAATTTAAACATTATATGTTTTTACATGAAGATTTAAAAAAAATCTTTCACATAAAAAAAATAAAGTTAAAGATTAAATACGTACGTAGTATATTGAGCCCTTGTTTTTAATGTCCCACTGCTGGACACAGGCCTCCCTTAAATACATACCTCTTTATATAAATTCATCATACATAGAAGTATTTAAAATTCCTAATATATAGCCGCTATTTTAAATCTTTACATAAGTTTGACGGATAAGGAATTAATAAAGCATGTCACACTAATATAACCCTTAACACCTCACGATAAGATTGAATTTCGTAAATATTAACAGAGAGAATACACCCAATGTAAATGTTATTGTATAACAACAAGTATACAAAAAGTATCAAGAATATTTTACTCTAGAACAGCCATATAGAAATTAATTTGCCAATGAAAAATGAAAATTATAATTGTAAGGGATATACGGAAATAGCAAATTGAATCACGTTGCTAATAGAAATGATTTAACAATAAATATGACAGCATAAATGCACAATCAAATATCAATACATATAACTATATACTTATTACGTGTATCATGGTCTACTGATGGGTAAATCAAGACATAAATCTTTGCTTGAAGGTAAGTCATCACATTACAGTCAGTAGAATCAATATAAAAGCTATAAACACTTTTTGACCTCTAAGGAACGAGCGTGGTTTTCATCTAAGGAAACATCTAAGCCCAGATAAAATATTGGAGTGTACCCGTAAGCAAAGCCTGGAGAACATTATAGCTTCAACGATTTATTTTCACACACGTTTACTGTTACAGTCTATTTCAACTAGTTACGATCGAAATAGGCCAGGCAAAAGTCACGTAATATCAATCCAATATCCGCTATAAGGAAATAAATAAAAAGCGCTAAACATATCAACATGATTGACATAACATGGAGCATAGAGTAACGAAAATCAGTCAGAGATATCGCGGCAGCGGGTAGTTTGACGATAGCTGCAACGCGGGATATGAGTGCAATGCAAACGTGATACTAGTTTGCTATTGGTGTGGGATTTGTAAACTCACGATTCGCGTGATCATCGATCATCATCTAACACTACCGTCATAATAAAGAAAGTCCTAACTAACAATTTGGGCAAAAATGCAGATTCCGAATCAGCAAAAAAAAAAGCTACTTGGATAGTCTTACTCATAAATCTCAAAGTCTTATGAATCCGGAGATACCATAACCGTTTTCATCGTAACTCACGTTTAAACTAGTTGTAAATTTGAAGTAACTTCAAATATATCGAAGTCAACTTTGACGAAGTTGCGGCCTTCTTTTTTATGACAGCAGAATAACTGTGAAGGCAAATCAAGACATAAATATTTGTCCGCATAATATCACCTGTTATATGGTACAGACAGAGTAGCTTTAAACAAATGATCGCGACTGACATAAGTGCACAGAGCCACAAGGGTGTGGCAGAAGCATCACGGCAGCGGGCAGTTGGGCAAGTACTCCAGCGCGGGATATGAATGTACCGCGGACTTATGTCTATATACTAGCTTGCTATTGGTGTTTCAATCAAGACATATAAATCTTCGTCCACAAGATATCACCATACAGAACTGACAGAATAGTATAAGTAAGCTCTAAAGGTGTCTGTCCACTACACCACCCCATACCATGACCGTGCTAGGACCGTGCCGGGCAAAAAATAATTTCTTTTTATTACAAAGTATGAGACTGCCCACAAGACCGTTCCGTCACCGGACCGGCACTGTCGCGAGCCGTGCACGGAGCGGTAATAATTGTCGGCGAGAATATTTTGCCGGTGCCGGTACGCTCCGTGCCTGGCACGCGACGTTGCGGGAGCGATGCGCTCAGGCGACACAATAGTAAGCGTATGCAGAACTAAAAACCGTTACGTACGGATATGATATATCTAGTGGCCATAGTAGACCGTGCCATGGTCGTTCCCGTGCCTGATACGTTCATAGCATGGTATGAGACGTTGTAAGTGAGCAGACTCCTTAATCAAACGATCGCGAGTGACAGAACACAGTGCATAGAGCAACAAGCGCGCGACAGAGGCATCACGGCAGCGGGCGGCTGGGCGAGGCCAGCGCGGGCGGCGCGGGCGCGGCGTCCAGGTCGCAGGCCGACAGCAGGCGCACCAGCTCGTCCGGGGACGGCCCGCCGTCCGCCACGGGGGACTCCTCGCCTTCACCTGTGGAACAGGAAAGAAGTGATTTTTTTACTGCTGAAAATTACAAAATTACGTCATGATTGCTAACTTTACTTAACAGACAAAAAATAATAAAATTCAAAATTCATGTTTTTATAAAAAACAAAGAGCAGTTTTAAAAATTTTAGGATCTTTTTAGGTCCGTACAATGTATGATACAAAAAATTAAACTAAAAATTTAATGTCGAACGTCATTTTTGACGATTTTCAAAAATTCTAGATTTATCAAATTTGTCATTTTCAAAAAAAAAATTTTTTTTTTCCAATAAAGCCTGTTATGTATCTATAACAATTTTCGAGTATTTGAAATATAAAGATGAAAAAAAATGTAGTAAATTTTGAATTTTGCATAACTATTTAAAAACAAACCTTCAGCAGAACTTCATTATATGATGAAATAAAACTTCTGACCAAAATTCATCCAATTCGAAAGAGGTCCATTCCAACTATTGGTCTATTTGACATGAAATGATCCATAGATAGACTATATATGCACTATGTATGCGTACGCACACACGCGCACACAACTCACCGGCCGCGCGCGCCGCCCGGTCGATGGGCGCGGTGAGGTCCCACATCTGCGCGGCGCCGGAGCGGTGGCCGCACAGCAGTAGGCGGCGCGGCCGCAGCGCGCCCTCGCACTCCGCCACCACGAAGCACGACACCGCAGACCCGTCCACCGACCGGATCGTGCACACCCTTGAATAAACCGACCATAATAATAATTACACAATCCTATATAAGCTATTCGTATACTTTCGTATAAATGACTAGCGACTCACCCTAGCTTGATTCCCCATACAAACTTTTATCCCCATTTTCAGCCCCTCAAGGGATGATTTCCGCGATAAAAGTATCCTATGTCCTTTCCAAGGTCTCAAACTATCTTCTAACCAAATTAATTATTGAAAGACATGTGAAGGCCGTCAACACGCACTTGGCCAGCGTGGTGGACTACGGCCTGATCCCCCTCGTATTGAAATGAAGGCCCGTGCCCAGCAGCGGGACGTTAAAATGGGCGGAATACACACACACGCACGCACACGCACGCACACACACGCACGCACGCGCACGCACACGCACGGGCACACACACGCATACACAAGCACACACGCACGCGCGCACGCACGCGCACGCGCACACGCACACATATAATATATGCAAGAAGATACTATTAGTCATACATGTCGCTTGGTACGAAAGTTTGTGCAAACTAATGATGTTCCATAACACCCAAATTATAGAATTTTTCGAGACAAAAAAAAATATTAACAATATTCTTCTGACCAATTTCCTGGGCACCTACTCTTCTCACAAACAAGTTTGCGATTAGACCTTACTCCACCACGCTGGTCAAGTCCGAGTTGGCACTTTACATGTTTCACGAGCTCTACATCCAAAATGCTACTGCATGGTGAATTTGTAAACTATTTTTCACACTCAAAAACGAAGGCGAAACTGAATTTCAGTTATTGTTTTAGTTTTGACCGAAACATGCTTTTTGTGTAGTTTTATAGTGATTTCTAAAAGCTATGTTTTTAAAAAATCACAGTTGTTATACATTAAACATTTACTTTATAATAATTTCATGTCTATTGATTATTTTTTAGAAGAATAATGAATGCAATCCAATACATTAATCAACTTCATTTTAATACCAATATTATACCTTTTGCCATTAGAAGCAAGTCGCACGTACAACGTGTCGGTGTCAGGTACTACTTTTTGTATAAATATTTGCTCCTCATCCTGTTCTCCATAAGGACCTGAAAATAAAAATTAACAATATTTTATTGTATTTTTATATATATGTATTGGTCTTCAACAGCTTATTTAATTTTTTTTCTTATTATAATAAATTCCCTGCTATTTTTATTTATTAACATTAAGTTAACACAGTAACGCGGAGTCTATTAATATTTGTATACTATTTTAAAACATTGTTTGGGTTCATGTTTAGTTCAATTACACTCTATATATATATTATTCCTTAGTCTGAGGTTTAATATAAATCAAAATATTGCATAGCTAGCGACTCACCCTCGTTTCGCACGGGTTCGTCCCTAGGTACACTTTAACAGTTAGTATGAAATACAAATCTTTGAATTTCTCGGCTTTTCTGTACTATAATATGCATGTATTACAAATATAAACCTTCCTCTTGAATCACTCTATCTATTAAAAAAACCGCATCAAAATCTGTTGCGCAGTTGAAGATCTAAGCATACATAGGGACAGACAGACAGCGGGAAGCGACTTTGTTTTATACTATGTAGTGATTACATACCGCAGTCGTTATGAGCCTGAGCAGTGGGAGCCTCCAAGGCCAACACCTTGAAGGCGGCCTTGGGCGTGGTGCCGGGCTGTGTGGAGATCATGCCCCTGAAGCGAGTCACTCGCCACGACCGCACGTGGTTGTACTCGCTGCACACTGATATTAGATAGTTTTCTGACAGAGATACCTATAAAAATATTTATATGACGTATCATCATCATACTACACCTTTTTGGATTTACGCGAATATTTGACATTTTAAATAAAAGGGATAGAATTTCCTGTAACAATAATTGCTGTTAACCATTCGAAACGTCGCGTCGCGTCGGAAACCAAAAATCCAAATAAATCTATCTCCATTCTCTTTTGTCTGTCTATATAAAGACTTTGTTTTGGTAGATTATAGTAACTTTATCCTAATTTTATCCTTATCTAGACTAAGACTAAAATGTTGTTGTTCGACAGAAACATTTCCCAATACGCAATAAGATTCCATTAAAATCCTATCAACAACAAAAACCTTTTTGGATTTACGCGAATATTTGACATTTTAAATAAAAGGGATAGAATTTCCTGTAACAATAATTGCTGTTAACCATTCGAAACGTCGCGTCGCGTCGGAAACCAAAAATCCAAATAAATCTATCTCCATTCTCTTTTGTCTGTCTATATAAAGACTTTGTTTTGGTAGATTATAGTAACTTTATCCTAATTTTATCCTTATCTAGACTAAGACTAAAATGTTGTTGTTCGACAGAAACATTTCCCAATACGCAATAAGATTCCATTAAAATCCTATCAACAACAAAAACAAACATTTAAACAAAATCTTTATTCATCCCGTCATTTTAAAATATATTTTTCTTAATATACTCAAAAGAGAGCAATTGACAGACAACAAACAGTCCAAGCAAATTCTTAATAAACCAAAGGTGATTAATACTAAACAGAGACACCTATAGTAAATTTCATTAGTAGTGTATTTCGTTAGTTATGAGAATATTATAAGCAAATATTTGAATTTTAAATAAACTAATATATTTTTTTAGGATACCCCTTTGCGGTTTTATTTTCATTTTAACTTCTGATTCCTGACGGTTTGAATGCTTTACAGCGAACATCGTTACAAAAGAGAAATAATGTCCTCCGACCCTTTCACGGCGGTCCATTTCACTGAGACTAGCAGACTGCGCAGGAGATATTATAATGCAGCCCGTCTGTGTACAGAGAGTGCATAGAGAGTGCACAGACACAACGTGCACTCTCTATTCTTTTCACTCTTATACTATGGTGGGACGACAATAGGGAATATGCACGATTTTTTTTTTAATTTTTTATACAATAGCGTACATTTATCATTTTCTTAATCACAGAAATTACATTCAAAAATCTTAGTATAGGCTTAATTCGAAAGCAATAAAAAAAATATTTCACCTTTATTTAAATCACACGCATATTCCCTATTCAATACGACCAGTGAGTGATCCTGTGCAGAACCGAAGGCTTTATGTGCTCTCTGAAGCACGGGTGTAAAACATTGCCAACTTCCCAACTGAGCAAAACTGACCATTTTAACAGAAGAATTCAATAACTTCATTTGGTCAGACCCGGGACTCGAGCCCGAGTCCTCCAGGTCCTCAAGGTCCTAAGTAGAAGAAGTTTATTATTTTCTACAGCTACCTTAGTAACAGGGCTCTGGTGCACGGTGAAGGTCTGGAAGAGCTGCGGTCCGTGGCCGACCGTCTCCGGGTGCTGCACGATGACGCGCACCGAGCCGTAGCGCGTGCCGTACGCTATCTCTATCCAGTTGCCGCACAGATCTAGCATCATAAATAAATAAATAATAAATAAATATGTCAGGACATTAACACACAACACCATCTAGTCCCATGGTAAGGTACGAGGCTTGTGTTATGGATACCAGATAGTTGACACACTACTATATACAACTTTAAATACATACATATTATTTATAAATATAAAAACCCATGACTGGAGTACAAACATTCGTGCTCATCACACAAATGAATGCCCCCAGAGGGACTCGAACCCGCGACCACAAGCGCAGCAAATAGGGTCCACTACAGACTGAGCCAAACGTGTCGTCAAATTAATCATTCACAACAATTGTCATATTGGGAATGGTGATGTGAGAATGTTTTTAAATAAAATAACTTTAAATAAAACACATCTTTTCGGATTTTTTCGCGGATTCATTTTGATTTTAAATTCTAACCTTCTGAATGTTTTATAGCATTCATACATTATGTAGTTGTTACGGACAGTACAACATGACCGTTATGACCTTTTGTCTCTCCCGTGACAATGGTTTTTTATTTTTTATTTTTTTATTTATTTATTAGGGAAACAAACAGTACAAATTGATACAAATTAAAAAACAAAACATAAAATATAAATCATTGACCAATAAAGTTTCCACAATTAAATAGTACATAGAATAATGCGAGCAAATTACAATTAAAAAAAAAATTTCCATTAAATAAAATAATAATCATATGAATAGAAAATAATTAATGTTTTAGTAATAATTACATAATTATAGTTAATAAAGAGTCGCAAATATAATTTAATACAAATAAAAATAGTTTAAACTAGGTCATTTTCTTAATTTGTTGAGTTAACTTCTGTAACGAACCCGTAAAGTAATCAATTGAACAGTATTCTTTGTTATATAATAAACAAGAACGATGAATACAGGCATTTTGTGCATATTTGGTACGTGTAGTATTTAAATAAAATAAAGATTTAATTCGCGAAGATTGTCTTGGACATCGGAAGTTAATGATTGTCACGGGCGTGGCCGATACTAACATATTGTCACGGGCTGAAGTCGTGAAATGAAAAGACCGAGTCCCATGCAAATAAATTTAATTAATTTATCGAAATAATCTCGACCCGGTAGAGAGAGAGAAAAAATATACTAACGGGCGGGGTCGAGCACTTAACCCACACAAGTTCCTTTGTTAAGTCGGTTCAGGTACTCTCCTGCGTCACGCCGTAAAGATAGTGATCCCGGGAGCTACGTTCTGGAATCCGCTGACGGCTGGATGCGGCAGAAATGGGTAACCAAACCCGGCGGAGAGTATTCACGTCGTGGTGGTGAAAGTAGGAAAACATAAAGGGCGTGAGGGTATACCGGCCAAATTGGTACCCGAGCGTTGAACCCCAGTTTAGGGGCGATCAACACTCACTATAGTATTAAAAAATATTCGAGGAACGCTTAGCGACGATCACGAAAAATTATATAATATTACGGTTACGAGTTTTTATATGATAAAGACACGAATTAGAGACCGTAAAAATTATTGTGACGTGCGTTCACTCAAACTAATTAGATGCAAAGCAAAATGAATAATCAGTGGCGGCGACCGGTACTGCAGTATTTAACTCAACGAAGACAAAAGATTTACTTGGAGCGCTAAAATGTTACATCGCGCGAGTATACAAATGCCGCTGGAGAAATAAATTTAACATATTATTATACTTTGTAAAAAAAATAAGTTATAATAAAATTGTGTTTTATACTTAGTTTGTTTTAATGTAGGATTTAATTTAATAGTTATTTTAATTAGTTTTAGGTATTGTAAATATTAACTTTAAGTGTATTTTAGGGTAATATTATGAATTATGTACATATAACGTTACATGATGTTAAGAAGAAATGGAGAGTCAATAACATTATGTAGTAATTTCAACAGAAATGTTTGGTCCTTTATCTTACGACGTTTTTCCAGAGAGGTCAAATTAGGAACAACTTGATCAGTAGCGGAACATCTAAATCTTAAATGCTTTAAGAATTTTGTTTGAATTTTCTCTATTTCTTGAATGTGGACTTTGTAATGTGGATTCCAAATCACCGAACCGAATTCTAGTATAGAGCGAACGAATGCGTTAAAGAGAAGAATCAGGGTGGTATTATTCTTAAAATCTTTACTAATTCTAAGAACAAAACCAAGCATCCGATAGGCTTTTGCAGTCGCATATCTATAGTGTTGACTAAAGGTTAACGAGGAATCAAGGTGAATACCCAAATCTCTCACCCCTAAAACCCGTTCAATAAGATTTTCGTTTAAAGTGTACTTGAAATTAATAGTATTTTTTTTGCGGGAAAATGATATTACGTTACACTTTTTAATATTAAGTTGTAAGAGATTATCATTGCAATACTTACACAATTCATTCAGATCATCCTGTAATAAACTACAATCAGAAGGTTTACTTATGGTTTTATATATCTTCATATCATCAGCATAGAGTAGAATTGAAGAATGTTTAAATACCGCAATAATGTCATTAATGAATAAATTAAATAAAAGGGGTCCAAGATGAGAACCTTGGGGCACACCAGAAGTAACAGGCACAAACGTAGAGCAGTAACCTTTAATTGTAACCGCCTGGCTACGATCTCTGAGGTATGAAGTAAGCCAACGGAGGAGGTCGCCATGTATACCGAGTTCTTCAATTTTACGAATCAAGGTTACATGACAGATTTTATCAAATGCCTTTGAATAGTCGGTATACACCACGTCCACCTGTAAACCTTGATCCATAGCGGAAGTAACCTGATGAACAAATTCACATAAATTGGACTCTACAGATTTTTTATTTATGAAGCCATGCTGTTGAGGAATTATAACGGTTCGTAGGATAGGAAAAACAATTGCTGTAAAGCATTCATATTGTCCCAAAAATCAAAATAAATCCGTGAAAAATCCGAAACGATAATTTTCTAAATCAGGTAAATTGAATAATTCAATCCAACGCTATTGCTTGATAGAACGAACTTCTAACTAATAATTATAATTTCGGAATCAATACATTTTTGTTTCACTTACTTGTTTTTGGTGTAAGGTATACGGATATAGCTGTGATTGGCTCTTGGTTTGGATCCTTATACAGTTGTGTTACTAGAAGATCGTTGTCTTTCATTCTTAATGGGAACTTTTGCATATCTGAAATTAAAAAAAAAGCAATTTCATAAAATATTTTTGTTACAACATATGCATATTTTACTCACTTCCCATCTGTACGCTTTATACCATGGGATAGAAACCTTGGTCAAATAATGCGTAGTACTGGAACCCAAACTCGTTTATAATAATAAATATACAATCTGTTTTACGTACAACAAACAAACGAAACAACAAAATGATATGTAACTTTTGAATAATGAAATAACGAGATTTTGGGAACATAAATTGTGCTTCACCGGCATGCATGAAAGCCATTAACGAAATAATAAAGTTGAATATAGTTAATTCAATTATATTTTACAAATTATTTTAAATAATCTATGAATTAATGCTAACTTTCGAACTAAATTAGATGAAATTTCTACAAAACAAACACTCACTCCGTATTCAATCAAATATCTTAGATACAAAGCCAGAAAAACAGTCAAATATCGTTACCTATATAATTAATAGCGCCAGTAGCAGTTCCCAACAATAAGAATGATCCAGCCGTATCATATGTGGTGAGATGGGCCACATCTTGGGTTTGCCAGTGTTGAGTGCTCGTATGCCATACACCTGCCTTGCTCCTACTGCCCGCCCCACTGAGTGCCACTAATTGGGGACCCACGAAGAGTAGATGCTCCACACGCACTCCCAGATTGAAGGTTCCTGTTGAAATTCTTTAAGATTAAGTTGTATCTGACTGGGGTTTTTAGTATTTTATGATTACTATCATTATTTTTTTTCCAACGGAGAAGATTATAAAGAAAAACATGGGTATCGATACGATTCTACGTCGGTCGTTCCTAGAGTTCTGACTTATGCCTTCAATTCATGCCAATATTAACAACTAAATCAAAAGTCATTGACATTAATTACTATAGTAGAGTGTATATTGTGTCGGAAGTTTAAACGCTTCGTACTAATAAACATGTAGTTTTAAAAAAAATCATTTAGTTGAAAAAATGTTAGTTTCCAAAATGTATTTATTAATATTTATTTAATACATCACATGAAAAAGGCCAGTTAAATATTGATGTGAAACATCTATTGGCGCGTCTAAGCAGTAAAACCGACTCGTATGCCGTGACGGCAAACGGCATGACGCTGTCGTGCCATCATGCCCCTTTTATACCACCGCTCTCCACTCCCTTGTATATGCAAGTGCGTGTAATACACTTTGTTGCTTCTCTGTGTTAGCTGCGTTATGTTTCTATCTGACAATAGTATACTTGAAACGTTTACCGCTTGTATACTCTTGTATTTCTTAAATATTTTTTTTTATATCTGAATATTTTGTTTTATATGTCAAATTTCCTACCTTTAAAAACCATCCTGTCATGGATATTTCCTTTACAAAATAGTTTCAATGCTTCACATCTGCCAGACGTCTTAAACTATTTTTTTTTTTGTCTGTTTTGCAACAGATTTAACGGAATTCAAAGAATCCTCTTTTTCTATTAAAATCCTAAAGTAACATTTTGTTTTACCTATTCTTACCTATTAACGTCCGTCGTACTGGTTCAGTATGTGTAGAGAAAGCCCACAATCTCACAAGTGGTCCACTCGCTATGCCCAGCATCACATCAGTTCCAGAAGAGTTATTCCCGCTGGATGTCGCTCCACCACCCGTCTTTGCATTTAGTGCTATTCGCTCTATCACTGAATCTTGGACTGGTGATTGGAAAACCACATACCAGCCACAAGAATCGGTCAATCTACAAATAATATTACCTTCAATAGGAATTATTATACTTATAATGTACATATACTAATATTATAAAGAGAAAAAAATATTTATTTACATGTTTGTTTGTAATGGATAAACTAAAAATCCGCTAAATCGATTTAGATGTAAGGTATGAAGATAGTTTAAAACCCTGGGAGAGACACAGGATAGTTTTAATCCAGGAAATCATCCCTTAAGGGAATGAAAAGGGGATGATTTTTTTTATGGGGAATCAATCATTTCTCAGGTAAGGGATATAAAACTTATCATACCTATGTATATAATATTAAAATTAAAACGTAGAACAAACCCGAGCGAAGCGAGAGTGAGTCGCTAGTGTATTATAGAATAATAAAAACAAAAAAAACTATTGTTATAGGAGATTCATGTTACAAAACCTGAATACTATCAGTTGTGTCTTCAATGCAGCAATTGGATCAGAATCCATGTGCTCCATAGGGTTTGCAGTGATAAAACCCTATGGAATTCATTTGTTGGAAGAAAAAAAAGTAATTGCTTACTAATCAGTTTTAAATTATTATTATTTTTTGAGTTTTCTTTCTTTTGTGATCTGAGTGTAGACAAATTAGTGAAGGTAAGCAACTTTATACTATCTATAAATGTTTAGGTAAAGGTAATATAAAAGATTATGTATAATGTATATATACCTGTAACCAGTAACAAAGTGTGTATATGCTACTGCAATCCAATTATGGTGTGCTTTTATAATCTGTACTTTCATATTTTCTTGCCATGTATTTACTGAAAAAAAAAACATTACATCAATACATGTTGCTAAATGTAAAAAAAAATATGTATGTATTATTTAAAATATTTCTTACTTTCAGGTGGTCGCATTCCCTTATGACTATCTGTGTTACCTAATGAAGCTGCTCTTGAATGACCTCTGCCACATCGGCTAAAAAACACAAGATATTTTGCGTTTGTACTTTAAATTTTGTAATGGCAACAATTATATAAAAATATTGGTTTTAATTACCAGTCAGTAATTAAATATTTTTATATAATTGATGATTGGTCAAGAATTACTATGTACTCACATAAAGGAACTGTGCCCTACAATGACTTTTAAATGCACTCTTATCATGGTGCGATATGAAAGTGTGAGTAGTATTATATTTTCAAGTATATCAGTGCAAATGAGCATGTTGATGATACTCCTCATTGACATATTTATAAAATGTCATGCACATAGGGTAAGAAGACTACAAGAGTAAAGATTTATTAATATGTAAACATTATAAACCTCAACTGGTCTTGTGAAGGTATCCTGCCAACAGTCCTTAGATCTAAAGAAGAATTTCTTGAATGTGTCCTATTAGCTGCCACATCTGTACTTGATGCTGTAGAGTTTTTTCTAGATACACTGTTACCACTCCTACCAGTACTACTACTTGGAAGAGGCCCATTCACTAAAATTAATATTTATTTATTAGGTTTACTTATAATCACTTACAATAATACACACATATATAAAAGTAGAAAATAGCAGAGAACAGAAAGAATGAGAAATATGGACAATAATATGAATTTACATGATATTAACTATGATTGAAATATTTTTATGTTAATCAGTAACTTTTCTATTATTCAAAAGAGATAAGAAAAGTATTAGTTACAATTATTTAAAACAGACAAGCAAAGTAAGGGATTACTTACAAGGCGGAGGTAAATATCCATAAAAAAGTACATCTCCACACGAAGAATGATGCATCTCATCACAAAGTGCCAGCCTTCTACTCAATGGAGTAATACCAAAGTAATCACATTCATGTCGCAACGCTCTTATATTAACATTGTTAAGGTCTATATCTCTAGTCCTTAGAAAATTTAAAATTAATCCAAATAATTTAGGGTCTCTGTCTATAAATATTGCTCCTGTTTCATCCCGAACTGTAGGTATTCGACCACTTAGGAGAGCAGTGAAAAATGTATCCGGAACCCATGTTAATGTATGCCATGATGTTGCGAATCTAAAAATATGCATCTAATTTATCAAGTTAAATACCAGGAGTTATAAAACCAACACTCTCTTATCAGTGACATGTGTGGCATTCATATAAAATATAACAATAAAAACAATTGATGATACTTGCACAATTAAAACGTAAGAAGACTAGGTATGCACAAAAAATAAAATTTACTAAACATCGTACCTTGCTCCGCCAATATTTAAGTTTACAATTTCTTGATAGTTAGACATTTAATGTTATAACAGATTTTTAATCTTTCAATTGAGAAACTGTAATTATATCGAGCACAATAAATTTATTTAGATATCCCAATTTCCAAAATATTAGTTCTTGAGATTGACAAGCTTCGTAATCAAACAAAGTCAAGAAGTCAAAGTCAAAACCAGCTGTCGTTTAAGCCATGATAGAAAACATTTATTGACCATGACCAAATATTTATTCAAGTATTTATTAATGAGAAATACAATTTTTATTAAAAAAGAAGATAAATGAATCCGAAGACTCCATATTACGTATAATACATTTATAATATCAGTTTTAATTAATATACATGTAATCATTGACATTAGCCCAAAAAATGGGTACCTATTCATTGAAAAAAAAAAAGAAATTGTGAAAAATAATTACCATAGATAATTAAGATAAAACACGTAAACCATAGAGTATATTGCTACATGACGTAAACAGTGGTGACTGAACAGTGAACTACTTTGTTATTGTCAAAAATCAAAATATACTTTAAACTGTTTTGCTTCAAATAAGTTAACAAAGTTATTAATTTTTTAATATTAATGTTTTATATAGGTACCCTAATATATTCACAATGTCTATGTCTGCAGAGCTCTAAAAGATTATATAAAATTAACAGTTTTTACATTAAAAAACATGATTGAACTCTCTGCAAAACTTAATACTGGCACAGTTTATTTAGCTGGTGAAGCTATAGAATGCTGTATCACATTTTGTCATACACCACAGCCTGAGCACAGAAACTCTCAAAGTCACAGGTATTTCATATATTGTTATTTATATGCATATTTAATATAAGTTATACTATATGTATCACCATGACATTTAATACTAATTAACTCTTACAAATTTTAGTGACATCTTAGAAAATTTAGCATGGGCTTCAGCACAGATACATTGCTTTTTTTCAACATCAAAAAATACAGGAGATAAAACTCCTGCCGTCGAAAAAACAACAGCTTTGGAGGTAACATCTTGTGATATCGGTGATGTTATTTTTCACACAAAACCTAAGATTTTATTTTGTGACTTGACTATACCATTGGGAGAAACCAAAACTTGTAAGTAAAAAATATATTCTTATGGAAGGGATGTATAGAATAGTATGAAGTATACTTCATACTATTCTATACATCCCTTCACTTACTATGTTATACAGGTGCATGTCACCAGCGGTTTCAATTGTTTGATGTATTTACTACTTCATGGATTGAAACTAAGTTTGGCAGTGGTTATATTTTTCTGACAAGAAAACCATGATTTAATCCAACCATGTGTGGGGCTTATCAAAACTAATTAAACAAACCCAACTTTTAGCAATAGCTATTATTTACCATCTGGCTATATCTTTAGATCAGCTTAATGGCAACAAATTATTGTATTGTTTCCTGTATTTTATATATAATAGTTTATTAAAAAGGTGTATTGAAACGAATGAAAGAGGCACTTGTGGTTATGTGTATTAATGAAAAAAACTGTTTCATTTCAGTTTGGTACAGAGAATCCCTACCTATTGAAGCTCCACCTTCATACAGGGGCACAGCTGTTAAATATTCTTATAAAATAACTATAGCAACACAAAAAGTTGGTTCTCATATAAAAATGGTCAGGATACCCTTTAGGGTTTTGCCTATTAGCCCTATTATTAATATGCAAGACTTAGCTGTTCTATGTGGAAATGAAACTACTGAAGAATTACAACCAACTAATCCCTTTTCTGAAGAGAGAAAAGTTGAAACACCTCTCACTATGGCTTTACAAGTATTACAGGTATGGTATTTAAACATACCCAATATTATATTGCAAATTTACTATTATATGTCTATCTATAGTATAATATTTCAATAAATAATAATCATTTGTAATATTTTTTTAGAACCTTACAGCTAGAAGAAGTCCCAATTCATATATGATTACTAATGCTAGAGGCAAAGTTGGTAGATTTTGTTTATTTAAATCTGCATATAAATTGGGAGAAGATATTGTTGGTACTTTTGATTTTTCAGTTGGTTCAGTTACTTGTATGCAGGTAATTTATTTATAAATTATGAAATATTTATTAGTTAAAAATTTAGAAACCAAGATAATTGTTGTAATATTTACCCAATATTTGTTTTTAAGTTGAGATATGTTTATATATCTCATATAATATATATCATATATTATCATAATTAAGATTAAAAATTATATTTAATAAAGAGACAGATTCATTTACTAACCTATTGCATATTTCTCTCAGGTATCAGTATCCTTACAGCCTGAAGAAGTGATGAAAAAGCAATCACCAGCAAAAAATGTAAACAAAGATAACTGCAGTCGATCAATGACGGTAGCAAGATATCATGAAGTTACTGTAGGCCTTACACATTCACAACTTATTCTGCCAATACCTTTACATATTACACCAGCCTTTGATGGTGATGAAGGTACATAATTGACATTATTAGGATAAAACTCAAAAGTAGATTATAGATGCAAAGTAAAATATATAAAGATATATTTCTTGAATATTACCAAAATTATTAATAAACTTTATAATTTTTTTGTAGTGTCTCTGAGTTGGCGCCTTCACTTTGAGTTTGTGACAAGTAATGAAAAACTATTCCCTAATGCAGAAGACAAAGATTGGAATGCACCCCTCAATGTGCCTATTGAGACTATGGTATGGAATTTACCTGTGAAAATTTATTCCACTCTACCAAAACAAATCTCTCAACAACCTGCTGATAGTGATAATTATACATTACATATTAAATGAAAAGAAAATGTTTCATTTGAATATTTATTATATAAAATAAATCCTTAATTATAACTTAAGACTGCTATTCTTCTACTGACTCTTTATCCCAATCTTTCATTTTTGCACCCATCATGAAGTCATCTCTGAAAGTATAATGGATTTTATGCTTAAAGTGCTTTAAGATTTATTAATACTATTAGTCTCTTCTCTTTTTTTTTGAGAATACAATTAATCTATATATATAATAAAATTCTAACCATGTTGAATCTATATATAAAATATTTTTTGGAAAATCTTATTAAAATAGTATAGTCATTAATATTGATACAGAGGCCGAATCTATAATTTTTAGAAATTTTGTCTATCTGTCTGTCTGGGGATTAATCACGAGAAAACCACTGCACAGATTTTGATAAAATTTGGTAGGATGATAGCTGGTTATCCAGGTCAACATATTATACATAGGATACTTTTTTACTGCTGGAAAATATCTCATCTCTGGAAAATCTATACTAAACATTAAAACATAACAAAGGACAAACCTGAATGGAGCGAGGGTGAGTCACTAGTTATTATATAAATCTGAATAAAAAAAAATGTAAAAAAGTAATCATAAATACCGTAATGCATTCCATCTTGGCTTCTCTTCCGCTTTAATTTCATCTTTTAAGGGTTTTGTTTGTTCCTCAACAACTATTGATTTAGATTGGCCCATAAGTGTATCTAAGAAAGCTCTCTTGTCAAATTTCTTTAAGATTTTTTCCTTTTTTCCTTCTGGTACATCTTTGCTTAATTCTTTCTCAAAGGTTTTCTGCTGGTTTCTCACAGCATTAAACAATTGAACAACACCTTTAGTAGCTATTTTAGCTAAAAGTCTTTCTCTATCTTTTTCAAGTATATTTGGTTTCACTCTAACTGATGATCTGTCTATTTTCTGTAAATTATAAGAAATATAAAAAATAAATAAAAAATAAGACATTTATAAAACAATAGCCTCATGTATTAAAATACCTTTTTTTTGGTGGGGGGTTCAGTTATAGAATCACTTTGTTTAAGGGGTACTGTTGGTTTCTTTTCTGAAGATTCTTCCACTTCATCAACAACTTCGAATGTTGGTTTTTCTTCTTTTTCCTTCTTTATAACATCTGCTAGTTTCTTAGCTCGAGATAACACTAACGTCTTTTTATTTTTAGGTTTGCTTGAACCAAGAATCTTTGCAATTGAATCTGCCCAACCTTCATTCTTTATAATAAGTTCATCTTCATCATCACTTTCTTTATTATCATCATCTGCTTCATCATTACTTTCTTTATTTTCATCTTCTACTTCGTCGGAAATTTCCTTTTCGTATTCAGATTCGTCAGCTTCTCCACTGGATGAATCGGAATCCGATACTAAAACAAATTACTGAGATGATGTCTATTAAGAAGCAAATTAAATATGAATACTTTTATATAAAATAATAAATTTACCTGACACTTTGACTTTTGGTTTAGTCATTTTTTCGGCTACAACCATTATCTACTTACCTGAAGTTTATCTTATGAGAAAGTACTTCTCACGATTTTTTAAAATAATAATAAATAAATTTGAAATTCTTCAACACGTGTTGCTGTTTTTATTTTGACATGATTTTGACTTTTGACATATATAATTTGACAGATGACATTAAAATTGACTTGCTTACCATTTGATTGCCATAAAAATATACTTTAAATTTTATTTTCTCATGTCTTCTTCAATATACGTGAGTCGTGACATTTGAATTGAATAATTATTTTTTTAATTCCTTTATGACTAACATTTATATTTGTCTATAAATAAAATGCTCAGATATGCTATTTTATTACTTATTGAAAAAATAGATGAATTATTCTTTTGATGATACAATAGAATGATTTTAGTACTTAAACAATACACACTTATTCTATTATCATATAAAATACACGTAAAGTTGTTTTGTAAATTATGTTTTTAAATAATTCACTTCAACTCGTTTTTTTATTACATTTAAGTGTGCAGTTGCAATTCAGCTATAGACATGTCTATGAGTTCAGCTAAGATTACTTCATCAAAGATATGTTTAATGAAAAACATATTTTTATTTAATATTCCATAAAATAGATTATTTAGCTACAAACATTTCTAGAATTTAAATGAGCGTATGAAATACGCAAAAGAAATTCATATATTATGATCTTCACGTCTCGTTAACCACGTAAAACTGTCCTCTGAACTAAAAGAGTAAAAGGATTACACAAACACACACACATAATGTCATGATCACACAGTACACACATAATGCTTCTACAATATAACGGTATATACTAACGGTAATAAGTTTAGTGAGAGTCTGAGAGATATATCTTTAGTAATTCTGCGAGATTTTTTTTTCTTATTTAATGTTCGGTGTGATTTTATAACTATTCAAATAATTAAGTAATTTCATGTTTAAAAAGCAAGACTTTATCTTAAAGATGCGATGTTGCTGTCGCTCATGCTCTAATCATAGAACTTCAAAACTTATTTATAGAACTAACGACTCACTTTCGCCTCGCTCAAGATTGTCCCTAGTTACGTTTTAACGTTTAGTGTAGATTTCTGAGATTTAATATTTTTCTACAGTAAAAAGTATCCTATATGTTGACCCGGTTATCCAGCTATCAACATACCAAATTTTATCAAAATCTTTGCAGTGGTTTTCTCGTGATGCGTTCCCAGACAGACAACAATTCTAAAAACTATAAATTTGGCCTCTGTATCGATAATAAAGACTATTTCAATGAGATTTTTCAAAAAGTATTTAATGTACAGATTCAACTCAGGATTTTATTAGAACTATCAGTATAGATAAGTATAAAAGAAACTAAAAAGTAGTTGATATTTTTGAAAATTAATTATTAGCTGTTATGAGAGAATTTTAAGGTAAAATATATAAACGGTTTTCTGTTAATAAAAAATAATGCTTAGAGTTTCGATAGATTATGTATAATGTATTTTAATTGTTTGCGTGAAATGGAACGTAAGATGTTTTTAAAAATAAAGTACAGCTGATCGTCAAGTATACTCTATTCTTCGGAAAATGGTGGATTTGCTTTAAAAATGGCGAATATAGCAAGTTCGTTACCTTATATTACAAAGAGAGAATATGGACTCTTGCATGATCTTAAATCACAGTTATATAATAAACGTCTCGACGCTGCTAAGAATCTTTACCGTCGTGATTTAGTTTGTCATTTTGGATGTGTTAATGCAATTGAATTTTCTAGCAATGGCGAATTACTCGTATCAGGTAATACCTAATATATGACTAAATTTTTTACATAATTTTCGTAATACTAAGAAATGTAAAATTCCTGTTTTGCTAACCAGAGAATTATAACTTTTCTAATAACAATTTTGTATTATTAAAACGTGTATTTATTTTTTTATCTTAAGATAACAACTGGTAGTTCGTGAATAATGTAATACAGGTAAAACTAATTATAATGAACTTTATAAACAGTACGCATAAAGTCAACATTTCATTCAGAGAAGATTTTATTAGATATTGATTATATTACATTTTAATTTACAACAAATTTTTATGATTATAAACTATAGATAATTGATAATATTTATTATGTGAAAATAAATAATATAAATAAATATAAAATAAATAGATTCTAAAATGTTAACTATTTGAGTACATAATATAACATTTTAAAGTAAATTCTTTAGTTATAAAAGGCTTAAATATATCTTTTTAAAATTTAAGGTGGAGATGATAGGAGAATTATGGTGTGGCAGTTTGGACAAGCCATTCTTGATCATGGCAAGCCCGAACCTATGAAAGCTTTACATCAGTCAAACATATTTTGTTTGGGTATTACTTCTGATAGTCAAAAGATATATTCTGGAGGAAATGATGATATTGTAAGTAGCATGAAGACTATAAACAATTATCATTTATTATTAACTATTTTTTTTTTTTTTCGTGCTGTAAGATACTTTTAATACCTATTAGGAAATATTTGACTGCATTTATGTGATCTAATTCAGTATATTTTTTACTTATTATCTAAATGCATGGGGGGTGTGATAAATATTGTATTTTAATATTAACAATGATTATTTTGTACAGGTTATAGTCCATGATCTAGAGAGTAAAAGGCCATTGGAGGTGCTACGACATCAGAAGGCAGTGTGCAGTTTAAGTATAGATCCATTTAATGAATGTGTTGTCTCCACTGCCGGCAATGATGGCAGATTACTGTTGTTTGATACAAGACAATCTGTTCATGGTAAATAAAAAATATAACCACATTTTAAAATTTATCTACATTTTTACATAAAATTGTAGGTTAAATGTTTTTACCTGGAGAATGTTATAAAGACCTCTTTAGAAATATTTGTTCTTTTCTTAGATATCATATTGCTATATTCAAAGGATTTACGTGAATCAAATCATCAATTAAACATAAAGCACAGGCTGTAAGCATAAAATATATATAAAAAAAATTAATTTAATAAAATTATAAATAGAAATTATTTTTTCAACATATAACATTTAAATACCTAAACTATGCAAATGTTTGAACTCTTTACACAATTCCAAAGCGCATTTCTTTGAAATTGACCAATTTTTTTACCAAAAATCTTTATTTTTTAGAATCACTAGTGATATCTCGCAGCCGCAAAGCATTCCATGGTGTTATGTTCCATCCCCAGCAAGTGGGCATGCTAGTGTCGGCTAATGCTAGGGATGGTGTAGCGCTGTGGGACCTCCGATCTCCCAAGCAGTGAGTAATACTATTTAAAAATAATAGCATAACCCTACTGTTGCAGCGTCAATAACTTTTTTTTACATAATATATTGTATAGATTAATCATTTCTTGTATAAATATATATTTATTAATACCTATGTTCTACTGCTGGGTTCCTGACTTCGCTTAATAGGAAGAGGTCACATTATTGTCTTTAAAAATAGTTGTATTCTTTGAGACGTGTAAGTTTCCGCACAATGTTTTCGTTTACTGTATAAGAAAATGGTAATCATATTTAAAATGCATATATAAAAAAAAGTCGCGAGCTCCGACGTTTATGACCCGCATTGCCCTATTTTGTTTCTAAAACCAGCATGTTTTTAATGAGACCTCACAAACCCACTAAACAATTGTACATTTATATGTTATTTTTAATTTAATTATTGTTCTGTTTGTCAAAGCTATATTTATTATGAGAAAAGTTACTGTAAATTGTGCATGAATAAAATTGGTCATCAATAACATCAAACTCTGTGCTAGCAAGTGATCTTTTGCTTCTTAGCCATGATGTTTAAAAATATGTCCAAAATTATAATAAACTAGCAACTTACATTGGCTCCGCTCGGGTTCGTCCCGTCTTACGTTTTAACGTTTAGTGTAGATTTCTCTGAGATGATATTTTTTCTGCAGTAAAAAGTATTCTATATGTTGACCCGGATAACCAGCTATCCCTCTAGTCGTTCTTCTGTGATGCGTTAACCGACAGACAGACAAAAATTCTAAAAACTAGATTCGGCCTCTGTATCGATAATAATGTTTATTTCAATAAAATTTTCCAAAAAATATTTAATACACAGATTCGGCTTAGTTACAATTTTATTATATGTATAGATTTGCTTTGCATCGGCTGGCACCGACTTCAAAAATATCTGATAAGCCACCTATTCTAAATGAAAACCCCCGTTTAGTTCTTTTTTATATTTTAGTGCCTGGAAGTCGGTTTTATTTGATTTTTTTAAGTTTTTATTTATTTTCGATTATTGAGGAAGTTAATATAGACATACATTAAATAAATTAATATATGAATTAACTTAGTTTGTATGTTTTAAAGGGCTTATCTCTGGAATTACCAGTCTAATTAAGAATATATCTTTGTATTTTATAGCCATTATTGGGGAAGGTTATAGTTATTTAGCAATATGTTTTGATTTTTAGAAACGGTAACCATGTATTTTGGCGGTACTCCTTACTGACTAACTTCGATGATGCTTTCCGAGACACTCATGATCTTTGTTTGCGATCGTTAAGTTCATACAAAAATCCTATAAAAAAGACACCATCAGTAACGTCCCTAATTTTCCGAGCAAGTTTTCGATTTAGCCATTCTCAAATGTTGCGCTTACCAAAACGCATTTCATTGGAGCAGGTACGATACAATACTCGTCAATACTCGTAAGGAGGTATAGCACACAGTAAAAATAAACATGGTCGATTAAATAGAAATTGTTGTTTTTCTTTGATTCAAGCCCTGTGATTCGTTACGTTGGCACCAATGGGTCGTGCCAAAACAGTATGAGCGTACGCTTCAACCAGACTGGCACGCATATACTCGCCCTGCGGCGTCGCCTGGCCCCGGTCCTATACACTGTGCAATCTCCGGAACCTGTCGCCGAGTTCTACCACCAAGACTATTATAACTCGTGCACAATGAAGAGTTGCTGCTTTGCCGGCAGAAACGACCAGTTTGTGTTGTCTGGCTCGGATGATTTTAATCTGTACATGTGGAAGATTCCGGATACTGGTGGTGGATCTGGTTAGTTGTATTCGCTTTATTTTTTTTGTTAGACGATTTTGTTAGCCGTTCGAGTCCGTTTGTTAGGTATCACTTAGGATTAATTGTATTATGTAGATAAATATGAAGTAGGACACTTTGTCAGACCTTATTCTATTTTCTGTAATTTTTATATTTGCAACATATCTGGTTTCCTACCTACCTTTTATTAATTTTTGAGATATAAAAAAATCATTTGTTAAATCAAGTAAGAATTGGAAACTATGAGGAGATTAAAACGATTTTAACATCATGCCCTGTTTTGATCTCAGAGGGCTTAGTAGATTATATATAATTATACTAAACAACAACTTATTCTGTAATATCAAAGAGAAAAATAATACTTGTATCAAATGGTTTACAAGTAGAATGTTTTGTTTTTACTGAAAAGACTTGTTTGTAAAAACTGTAATAACAACTTTGCACGCAAAAGTTACAACTTAAGATAAAGTCCTTTGTCACATATTGTTTGTAATGAAGGTGCATTTTCAAGCAGAGTGTGGAGTAATACATACGGTACAATTTTAATTGTTTAACTTTTTTTACAATAGAGGCGAGAAACGTTCTCCATGAAATTGGACCTTAACAGCTACTGAATCCTACACAAATGTATCTTTAGACATAGTCTTGATTACTTTCTTTAAAATTAGTTAATAATTTAGTACAATAATATAATTTTATTTATACCTCTTATACTATCACAGATGCTGTGGTAAAGCCGCCTCATATAGTGTTGTATGGACACAGGTCTATTGTGAACCAGGTGCGATACAATTCGCATTATTGTCTTATCGCATCGTCGGGAGTGGAGAAAATTATAAAGGTATAATAAAATCATTAAATTATAATTAATAAAGATAATATCCTCCTAATCGATCTCGGTTATAGGCATTCATTACCCGCCAGTTAATGAGTATTCCGTGACAGGAAGTAAACAATTTGGCCCAACCCGGGACTCGAACCCAGGACGATTTATTGAAGTCAAACTTCTTTAGAATTGTTGTGATTTGAAACTAGATGAAACGGAAATGCGAAACCAAAAAGAGAAAAACAGAAATATACAGAATTAAGCCGGCGAGAGAATGAGATAGAATACATTGCCATGTTGTCATGGTAACCATTGTTATTGTCTGACAAATATATACTAAATAAAATATATTATATTCTTTCCATAGATAATTTATAAATATATGATTGAAATGTGCCTAATATGCCTTATTTAATTATTGATTAGTTTAATTTGATAAAATTTTGTTTGTTCCCAAATTGACTTTAATTGCGATATTTGCCAAAGAAGTTTTACTTACGCGCGTAAAAGTTACACGCACCCATGTTTTTTTAATTTATTATTATACATTCAATAGGCTGAAAATAGAAAACGTTATAAAAGATTTCTTCTAGTTTTATGAGTATAATTTTTATTCTTTTCTATAATAATATTTTTTAATATTCACAATCTTTAATTCTAGATTTGGTCGGCGCTGGAGTATCCTAAAATGCGTGGAACGTTGTTAGAAGAAGCACAAGGATCTGATAACCCCAGAGAGCTATATAGCCATGAGGACTATGTGTCACTTGTGCATCACACTGGACAGGTTAGCTTTAAATTATTAGTCTTTTACTCGCATTAATCTAAAAGTATAAAATCTTTATATATATAATTCTTTTGTGAGTGTGTATGTCACTGAACTTCTCTCAAACGACTGGACCTATTTTGATGAAATTTTTTGTGTGTGTTCAAGGGGATCTGGGAATGGTTTAGATTCACAATTTGAATAATAATTTTCATCAAAAAAATTATTAAAAAAAGTTTGAAATTTTCAAATTAAAGACGTGTAGACAGGACAACGTCTGTCGGGTCCGCTAGTAGTTTTATAATCCCTTTCATTGTCACATGGTTTTGCTGACAATGTGGGAAAAGATATGAATAATGAAATCATATATTATGAATAATGAAATGATATATTTATGGTGCACAAAGACATATCCACTACACATGTACATATATACGTATTCCAGTACCTATCGCACAACTACGCGGAGCAGTCCACCAGCGAGGACCCTCGCATGATGGCGTTCTTCGACTCGCTGGTGCAGCGCGAGCTAGAGTGCCTCGCGGAGGAGACGGACTCGCTGGATGGCACCAGCTCCGCCTCGGCGCGCCGGTCCGACGACAGCGACAGCGATCAGATTGTTGTAGACTTCCTACATTTGCCGCAAAAACGGGGTAATTTCATTATTTTTTTAAAAGTTATACTTCTTTTTGGCACGTTTGGAAAAAAATATGAGAGTAAATTTTTTTTTCACACGTTTTTTTAAATTGGGAAATGCGCGTTCTAATTACCATCTTCTTACATGCGTGTGATAATGTGGGTTAGAAAAGCCAGTACGCTAAAACCCAACAGAATCATCCCTATCTTAATGTAGCAGAAATGGAATATGTGCTATATAGTTGTTCCACTTTATAGTGCACAGTAGACTTGTTAATTACTCCGCGTCATATACTATATTCTGTACATTCATTCAAATTCGTCCAGCCTTTACATAGTAACAGAGTAACAAACACGCATATACAAAATTTCACATTTTATAATAACAGTCCGATGAAAAGATAGTCTTAAGTGTGTTTACGTTTTCTATAAAAGCAAGATGTTGTTAAATAAATAAATATAATAAAAACAAAGTATATGGCTTTGATAATAAGTAAAAATTCAGACAATATCACTTGCGCACCATTATCGTATGTTAATGGCGATCTGTCAGAAAATCTCTCCTTAAAACCAAAGTTTCAGGTGTATTATGTTTCTAAATAAACATATATTTTTTAAATATCTCTTGTTAAACGAAAAGTAGGATTCCTACCTATATTTATGTTTAACCTTTATTACAAAGTTTATTTATTTCTGTGAATTAAAAATTCAATATCTAGATGATAGGTAATTGAGATAAGATGTAATGTTTATCTATCTAATGGATAAATTGAAGTGTACTAAAATTGCCATATTGTTATTTTCAGCCACACCAAATGGCACTCGGAATCAAAGATGCCCAAACAGACTAGCGCGTCTAGTCGCCTCGCGATATCCAAAGAGTGTGCGATCTCAGAAACGTGGTTCTCTTAGGTGAGGAAATACCACGCTTTACCGCTTCCACGACAGTTTTGAGACTGTTTTGATGCTGCACCCCACAACTTACTGCGGCTTTTTGTATATAAAACAGTAAACGTTAGTAGGTTTGTTGTACGTCCTTTAAAATAATCACACTTTTCGCTATTGACCTATTTTTTAATCAATACATCACACCATTTTATTATTGACTAGATTGTACATTAGCATCAATATGTTATATGAGTTTAGATTAGATTATTTGTTTTTATTTCCTCATTCACAATAGATAAAATAAATTATGTGTACATTGTACATAAACCTTATAATTATATATTTAATGTAATTGTAAAAACACTAAAATGTTAAAATAAAATTTTCCCTTAAAGACTGAAGTTAAGCTGACCTATTCATTAAAAAGAAGCATCAATCAAATCGGTTCACAATTCCCATAACAAACAGTTAAATTTAAAACACAAAAATCCATATTATTAACACACTCGTTTTAAAAACCTCCTTTGTTGAAGTCGGTCGAAACTTGACTGGTCCAGGCGCAAGCAGTCGAGGGCTTGTACGAGCGTGGCCAAGCCGAGCAAAGGCAAGCGGCCGGCGCGGCGCGCGCGAGGCCTCCGCGGCCCCCGAGGCCCCCGGGCCCCAGCGCCCGCAGCCCCCGATGCGCCCTCCAGCGAGCGCACCGACTCGGACGAGCCGGCGCACTGCTTGTACAGGACCGAGGGCAGGGTTAGTGTCGATGTTCTAAAGGCTTCTACACACTGCCGTCAGGCACCTGCTGGCGGTACAGACGCCAGCGGTACGTGCAGCTCGTTAAAAGGCTCTATAGAGAGCTTTTGCCGAGCGACACGTGCTAACGGCACTGTGAGCCTTAAGAGTGTAGAGGATTTTTGTATGATTCCTTCATTCATTCCATTCATCTTTAGTCCAGAGGTTCGCAAACATTTTTTTATCATATCACTTACTCATGCAAAGCATAATATGAAATCCACCTCGTTTTTTAATATAACGTATACACTTAATTTCAGATAATTCGACCATTAAGAAGAAGAGTAAACCTCACAAGGAGTAATAAAAGGAAAAGTAAAGTCACTAGTTATAGAAGAGTTATGAATTTAAGAAGTAATGGTACGTTAATTTTTTTACTCCCAATATTTTGCATAAGTGAGTGCTTATATATATTAATCTTTTATGTCGTTTTTAGGAAACATGTTGGCTCAAGATAGTAGTGATAACAATAATTTTTCCAACTTCGATAATTTTGAAGAAAATTTAGCTTTACCTAGCACAAGTACAGGTAATTCTTCATAATTATAAAATACATATCAAATATTTCTTTTCTAAATCAAAAATAAAATTACATTTAATTACAGGATACAGGGGCCAAAGTAATTCCGCGCTATTTCGGATAGCTGAGGTCGACTCGGACGATGACCAATCAGTGGGCAGTCGACCTATATCGCCAAGAAATCAAAACGTCAATGGTGTTCCTAATAATTTGATTAGTATCGTCCCTACACCCATCAATGGATCACGGGATTCATTGGGCGACTCCTTGCGAGTTGAGCCACCGGAATCTGAAAGCAATTCGACCCCCCCTCCAGAGCACAGACTGCGTATGAATTTGAGAAGAGTAAGACGTAATGGTAGACTCAGCCTACAACGTTCCGATTCCAGTGAATCGCCCCCACCAAAGGAGTCAATGGACAGAATGTCTACAGTTGCCGACAGACTCTCACCAAAAGTTCACTATAACAGAACAGTAGCAAGACTCATGAACGAGACCAATGAAAGTGAATTAGAAAGCAGCTGCAGTACTGAGAGCAGTTTGTGGCCCGCACCCAATATGGGCACCCCGGACAGTGGCGTGGGCACCGTTGCAGGAAGCAGCACAAGAGCTTCCCAGCCTCCCGCAGATGACGTCTCCGATGACCCTGAATACCAAACCTTCAAATTTCGGCAACGCGTCAAAAAAGCCCGTCGAAACTACCGGAATCATATGGAATCAGACTCCAACTGAACTGAATTAATCATATATTAATGATATTTTAATTGTGTTCCATGATATGCTAATTGTTCTACTCTAAATGGCGACTATCAACGACTATATGTGTGTTAAGCAATTTTGACTTCTAAAAGTTTTATTATATGTATATATGTGAGGCTTCAGCGAGTCGCCATATTTTCTTATATTGTTCATATGCTATTTTTTTGCTTATTGCTATCGTTTTTTTTATTTACTCAAAATTTTATAGTGAACTACCCTTAAGTATGTGAATGTGTATATTTAATTCTAAAATACAATGCTAAGCTATATTTCTAAAACGGTCATATTTAAGAGAGATAATACTATTAATAAGAGCAACACTTCTATTTTTCTTTTAGTAGGAGAGCCCAAGACGGTATTTTTTGATTTACTTAAGTGCGGTAGATCAACATAAGGGGGATACCTTGCACTCTGTTGAGTACCTCGACCATATATAACTCCTCTGTATAAGGTCGCGCGTCTAGGGCAGTCGATCAGAATATTTAAAAACTTATTTTTATAAGGCAAAAAAAATACTTCAAACCGTCAGATTAAGGTGTGGTGGGCATAAACTTTATGGACCACCTTTCTCCTCCACCTTTACCTCCATCCTTCGGGGGAACAAATCCAAATGTTATAGTAGAATAACTATTAAAACATCGGGAAAATTCACGAAAATTTAAATCTACATGGCTAACGCTGGCTAATAACTATTTATATCTATTTAAAAACTACACAAGGACGCACTCGAGCGAGCGAACGTAAGTCGCTAGTGTTTTCATATATTTCAAAACTTATTTCTAGTGTTTCATTTAGCACTAACGTAAGTTTTAAAGATTTTTTCGTGTGTTTAAGTCTTCAGTACAGACAGTATTTCCGTCGAAAAACAAAAAAATGTGTTTAGGCTGTTCTTGCACTTACAGCTTAATAAATGGTGGAAGTACACTACACGAGTGCCGCGTGTAATAAGCGGCGCTTGTGTAAATCACAAAGTCCCCTTGTGGGTGGGCTCCTTTACTATTTATCTTATGTACATTTCAAACCTATCATACCTTGTTTTTTACCTAAATTTGACTACATATGTTATCAAGTTGTAGGAAAGACTTCAGTTTTTTTTGTATAGTTTATTTTTTATTTTTAAAAAAATGTGATCTATAATTAAGTTAAATAGAGTTAAGATATATCAATGTTTCTCTTAAATGGTTGTAAGCATATATTAATGCTGAGAAAATACATTGTCTTTACTTATTTTTTTTTCTTTTACCCTCTTACTGAACATTTTCATAATTTTATTTCCTTTCAGCAAGTTTGCAAGGATATTAAATAACATTTTTGAGTAACGTAACAGAATTTTAAAGGTGTTATCACACCAATCGGTCGATCGGTGGTGGAATGGATTAATCGACTTCGATCGACATTTTTTTACCACACCGATCGATCGATGGTAGAATGGATTATTTGACGTCGCCGTACACAGGAGGGAGCGGACACAATGCAATGCGTCCTTCAGAACCACTTCCCAATTTTCCACCGATAATCCCTTTGACCGAAGGCTGAGTTGAATAGTTCGCCAGAGCGTTCCGTTTAGTCGCTCCACTTGGCCATTACCCTGGGGGTTATAGGGCGTCGTTCTGGACGAGGCTATATTTGATTGTCGTAGAAATGATTTGAACTCTTCGGACATGAATGACGACCCTCTATCACTATGAATGTAGAGAGGTTGGCCAAATGTTAGAAAAAGATCTTTCAGGCAAGTAATGACGGTGGCTGAGGTCATATCCTTACATGAGTAAGCAAAAGGAAACCGACTGTACTCATCAATAATTGTAAGTATATACTTGTTGGCTGTTTTAGATGGTAGTGGTCCTTTAAAATCTATGTTGATCCGTTCAAACGGCGACGTAGCTTTTATCAATTGACCCTTGACCTTTAGAAACCTCGGTTTTATTTCGGCGCAGGTAGGGCACGAGGCGGTCATCTCCTTCACATCATTAGCCGAGTAAGGCAAGTTTTTAGATCTTACCCAGTGATACATTCTAGTTACTCCCGGGTGGCAGAGTGCGTTATGTAGTTCTTTCAACTTGTTTATATTCATAAATGCGCATACGCGAGATAGAGCGTCCGCAGCAGCGTTTTCAGTGCCTGGTCTATAAACTATATCGTATTTGAAGCAAGATAGTTCTAATCGCCAACGTTGGATCTTCTCATTTTTTATTTTACTGTTATGATTTTGATTGAACATGAAGGCAACCGATTGTTGGTCAGTTATAAGAAGAAAATGTCTGCCGATCAGGTAGTGTCTCCATTTCTTTAGGCTCTCTACTATCGCACAAGCCTCTTTTTCGATTGAGGATTGTTTGCATTCCGAGTTATTTAATGTCCGAGAGAAAAAGGCAACTGGTCTTCCATGTTGAGTCAGAGTAGCCCCTAACGCGAATTCCGAAGCGTCTGTTTCGACTGTAAACATTTCATTATCATTAATGGCTACTAGAGCGGCTGCCTTGATATCTTGCTTGAGTTCTTCAAAACACTTGAGCGCTTCAGGTGTCAACGGGAAAGTAGTCACGCATGTAAGTGGCTTTATTTTTTCTGAGAAACGCGCAATCCATTTAGCGTAATGAGCAAGCATCCCTAGGACTCGTTTTAGTTCACTAGTTTTAGTTGGAGCGGGAAGCTCTAGAAGAGGTTTTAGTCTTTCCGGGTCAGGACTGATTGTATTATTTTCAACAGTATATCCAAGCAAATTGATTTTAGTCTTATTGAAAACACTCTTCCGTTCGTTTATAGTTAAATGATATTTATTAGCGGCGTCCATAAAGCGTTTTAAATTGTGGTCATGATCCCTTTGATCTTTGCCGCAGACGGTTACATCGTCTAAGTAGGCGAACGTTCCTTCTAGTCTCTCTTCTGTTATGATGAAGTCCAGAGTACGTTGAAAAGCCGCAACGCCATTAGTCACGCCAAATGGAATGCGTGTAAACTGGTACAATTTGCCGCATGCTTCGAAAGCAGTATATATCTTTTCATTTTCTAAGATGGGTATTTGATGGTATGCGCTCTTTAAGTCGATTTGACTGAACACTTTGAACTTTGATACTTTGTTCACGACTGATTCTATGTTTGGCAAGGGGAAGGCATCCAGATCGGTGAATTTGTTTATGGTCATGGAGTAATCAATGACAAGTCGTTTTCGATGAAGCCCTCCTCCCGCTACGAGGACTTGGGCTCTCCAGGGGGAAATACTTGTTTCAATGACCCCGTCTTCAAGTAATTTAGACACTTCTTCTTTTATGAAGGCCTCATCTTCCTTACTGTAGCGCCGGCTTCTCACGGCGATCGGTCGAATGTTCGGCGACAGATTTGTAAATACGGAGGCTGGCGGCACCGAAGCTCGTAACACGTTGCATATCTCTAAAGGTTCGCCAGGCCCACCAAGATTAAAATGAATGCTCGAGTGATGTTTGAGCAAGTCATGGCCGACGATGACGTCAGCACAGAGGTTGTCGACAACTAGAAGAGGCGTTTGTTTGTAAGTATGCTTATTCATCGTAATGGTAGCAAAGCAGACGCCTTCGGCAAAGGAAACTTGATTGAGAGAAGCGAGATTGACTGTCTACTTGCAGGGTTTTTTGCGTAGTTTCATTATGCGAGCAACACTAGCGTTAATAAAGCTGACTGAACTTCCTGTATCGACGAGTGCATCAGCCTTGTATTCGTTGACCATGATTGGAATTGTCGCACTCCTAAGGCTCAAAGGAGAGGCAGCAGAAATAGCTCCACTGTAGACCTGGTTGTTGTTAGAGGTCGTAGGATCTTCAACTGTCGTGGAGTTCAAGTTAATATTGCCCGATCTACAGACGCTTGCAAAGTGTCCTTTCTTTGAGCACTTTTTGCAGGTGGCTTTGTTGGCTGGACATCTGAACCTTGGATGAAGACTCCCGCCGCAAAAGAAGCAGGGTTTAGCCGGAGGTGGCGTGGTCGGGGCGGCTTGAAAAGTTCGTGACGATGGAGCTGCCGCTAGGTTTTCGGATTCCTTGTCCCGTGAAGTACCTTGCGATATGGCGGTAAGTTGCGAAGAACTGATACCAATAGCAACTGCATCCTTCTCTGCCGTTTCCAGTGCTACGGCTTGATTAAGTGCTTCTGAGAGAGTGAGTTTTGAGTTTTCTAGTAACCGTTCGCGAATCCTTCGTGATAGTAAGCCGGATATGAGAGCACTACGAATTGCTTGGTCTTCATGCTCTTGAGCTATGACGTCTTCGAATTTACAATCTTTCGCGGAAAGTCGGAGAGCTCTAATATAGTCAGAGATCGTTTCGTCGGCTCGTTGCTTGCGATTGAAGAGAATGTGTCGAGCTAGAATAGTATTTTTCGGTTTGACATAGATATCTTCTAGAACTTTCATCGAATCTTTATAAGTGGAGCATGTTTTGATATGCTTGTAAATCGATGCCGATAAGTGATTAACTAGCAGCTTACGCTTAAAGGAGTCTGGTACATCGTCGGTAATCTCTTCTGCTAAGAAGCTTTCAAATGTCGATTTCCAGTGTACCCATTTTTCATCCGCGTCCGCGACATCAGGCTCGATGTCAAACTTATCGGGTCGCAGATATCTCGACAGCGAAGGCATGCCTAGTTTTTCATCAGGCATTTTCAGTTAAATAAATTGTGGCGTAATAAACGAGAAACCAAGAGGAATATTGGTTTTATTTAACTGAAAGAATTCCACTAGACAAATGTAATGACTAAATTAATATTAATAAATAACAAAGTATGACAGTTGACACGTTTGGTTTTAACAACACTACGGAGATCGTATACATGGCGCGGAGGTCGCATATCACCTCACACTTTACTGAGGATCATAGTGATCGCGACACCTCGCGAGGGAAATTAGCAACATTCTTTCCATTATAATATTGAGATTTAGCATCTGTGATGTACTTGACATTTATCCGCCGAATCCGAATGGCTAGCGTGAATCGTCAACTTGAAGTTTGAACAATGAACATCCATCAAAGAGTATAGTTATAAACTGACATCCATCGTTTGAACTGTCAAGCTCGATCGTGCCGAAGTAGGTACTAGGTAGTCCAAGGTTTTGAATCAGTTTAAATTTTAAACTTGAACTTTGAAAAATGGACGAAATATGTAGTTATAGTGCATTTGTGGCAGCGCACAAACCACAACTTTTACTCTCAGGTGTGCCAGAATATTTTTGGTCGACTTTATGCAAGAAATTAAAAGATCAAATATTTGATTCTGGTGCGGCGTTTCAGCTGGTAAAAATTGACTACGATGAGGATGAAAAAAGTCCATATGACCCTTTATGGAGTGTTATAGCTGTAACTGATATAGATAGAAAAGATTCTAGTCATATTTACCTAATAGATCACGCCTGGACTTTTAAAGCCAACAGCATTAAAAATAACTTAAGAAATGTGCCATCTCTATTAGAAAGAATGTGTAATCTTATGCAGGTTACATCTGAAACGACTGAAGATCAAATTAATGATGTATCTAAGTATGTATGGAAATATGCAAATACATATGCTGTTGGAGGTGAAGAATTTTCAGTTGAAGACAGGGTACCTGTTTGGTATGTTATGGATGAGTTAGGATCAGGAATAACACACTCGGACAATCCAAATTTTCGTACTGTTCCATTTATATATGTTCCTGAGCAACTTACATACACATTAATGTTTCCAATAGAAAATGTTGAAGAAGGTGATATTATTACAAGGAATTTTGTTGAAGGTAGTTATATAAACCCCCTTCAAAGGGAAGCTATGCTTATACCTTGGAAACATTATGATAATTTTAATGAAAACTTTAATCAGGATGAGCCAGGTGCAAATTATTTTTTAGAAGGTCATATTGTTGAGTCTCTCCCTGAATTAGAGTTATTAAAAAACAGGGTAAGGTCTACTACTCTTAAAGTTTATTCAGAATATGAATTTATTAATCAATATCTTAATGCCCCTGAATTTGAAATTGTTGATAATGAAGATGATGCTGATGTCCTATGGTATATAAATCATTTCAAAAAATTTAAAGAATTGAGTGTTAATTCACCTAACAAATTCGTAAATCAATTTCCCTTTGAATATGTTATTACCATCAAAGATCTTTTAGCCATCATTGCAAGAAGAGCTAAAAATATAACTAGTAGCAAAGACCAATTTGAAACTCTACCAACATGGTTGCCTACAACTTTTAACATGAAAACAGAACTGCCACAATTAGTTGCATATTATATGCAGCGTAAAAAACAAGTATTAGATAATCATTGGATTTGTAAGCCATATAATCTTGCTAGAGGTTTAGATACTTATATAACTGATAATTTAGACTTCTTATGCCGTCTACCTTTGTCTGGACCCAAGATAGCCCAAAAATATATTGAAAATCCAGTATTGTTTGAGAGACCTAATGTTGGACAAGTAAAATTTGATATTCGTTATGTTATTCTTTTAAAGTCTGTGAATCCCACTGAAGTTTATATTTATAATAATTTCTTTTTAAGATTTGCCAATAAAGCATTTGCACTTGATAACTTTGAAGAATATGAACAGCATTTCACTGTCATGAATTATAGTCAAGGTGTCACATTATTTAGATTGTTGTGTGCCGATTTTAAGGAAGCTTGGGGTAAGCAATATCCACATTATGACTGGGATGAAATAGAGAAATCAATTTTCAAGATGTTTGCAGAATTATTCACTGCAGCCACAGCCAAAGATGCTCCATGTGGAATAGCCAAAAGCCCCCAATCTAGAGCTCTATATGCTGCTGATATTATGCTAAGTTGGAGTGATGACAATAAAACCATACAACCTAAATTACTAGAAGTTAATTGGATGCCTGATTGTCGCAGAGCATGTGAATACTATCCTAATTTTTACAATGATATTTTTTCAGTAATGTTCTTAGACAAGGAAGTAAGCACATGCACAAAAGTTTTATAAACCTGTAATATTTTATTTTGAAGCTTTTACTTGTATACTGCCTTATATATCTTTATATATAGTAATATGACTCAAAAAGACAAAAAACATGAACTCTGTTAAATATTTTATTTTTAATTGTACATTAAGACAACATATTTTAATATTAGAAATGTATTACTAAAAATTGCTTGATTTCATAAATATATAGCATTGGAATTAAATAGAATAGTTAATTTTTTTGTAATATTCTTCTGTCATCATCAAGGATAGAACCAAATGGGTTATCATCCTCAACATTTCTGTGGCTTAGAAGCAGCAAAACGATTATAGCTACAAACACCAATAACATGATCCAGTAGCTTCTGTGAATGCCACCTGCTCTCCTTACACGAGATGATGGAAGTGTGTTTCTAAAAAATAAAAAAAGGTAGTATTTTTTAATAATGTTACTGTGCCTTGTATTTAAATATATAAAATTATTATTGATTAATTGTTTTTTAACTTACTTCCACCACCTACTTATCCATGCAAAAGTAGATTTCTGTTTGTATTTATTTTCATCATGATCAAAATTTAGTAATGGTGTTTGATCTATAGATTTGAATGCTTTTCTGGATGCTTGACCACCTGGAAAGTAAATGAGGACTTATCAATTAATCCCGCAAAGACAGAACTACTGCTTTTCACAACAAAACGCAAAGTCAAACTAACAAAAATGCCAACACTATTCAACGAAAAACTGACATTATCAAATGAAGTCAAGTACTTAGGTGTAACACTTGACAGCAAACTCAGTTGGAACACACACGTAAACAACAAAATCACCTCAAGCCACAAGATATTGAACCAATGCAGGCGCATGGTAGGGAAACAATGGGGCATCACACCAAAAACTATGCTCTGGCTCTACACCACGGTGGTACGAGCATCCCTCACCTACGCCAGTGTAGTCTGGTGGCCCAGAACAGAAATACACACAATCCAAAACGAACTTCAAAAGTTCCAAAGAACAGCCACGTTAGCAGTAACAGGCTGCATGAAAACCGCTCCATCAGCCGAAGAAATAATTCTGGGCATACCACCTCTACACATTTTCATAAAACAAGAAGCTGCCCTGTCAGCTCTAAGACTAAAATCAGTTAATTCATGGAAACGCAATCTGGGCAAACACACAAAAATCCTCGACATATATGAGGCAGAATTTCCACAGCTCAAATGGCCAAATGACAGAATAAGTAAAACACACATCATAGAAAAACATTATACTATAAACTCAACAGATGACGAAAATGTAGACAACTACCCAACAATAGTACCAATCCACACCATCTACACAGACGGTGCCAAATCCAAGGAAGGAGTAGGTGCAGGTATATTCTGCCCCACTCTCAATATCAAAACCAACCATCATATGGGTATGTACAACACAGTGCTACAAGCAGAATGCGTCGGCATCACAATTGGAGCACAAGAACTACTAAACAAATCGATAACAAACTCAATAATACACATAAAAACCGACAGCAAAACGGTTTTACAAGCACTAACTAAAAACACAACAAAATCAAAATACATATTAGAATGTCATAAAACATTGGAACACCTTTCCCATACTAACACAGTAAAGGTCTCCTGGGTAAAGGGTCACACGAATAACAAAGGCAACTCAACTGCCGACTACCTAGCCAAACAGGCCTCTAGACTAAAAGTTCAGGGGCCTACACCTCTATCCCCAATTCCACACTGTGAATACAAGACATGGTTATGAGACTTCACTGATAACACAGTTAACACATTATGGAAGGCCAACACAGATTGCCGTCAATCAAAAGAAGCATTCCCCACACTAAACAAACAATTAACAATGGAACTAACACGCCTAGATAGACCCAAACTAAAAACGGTGGTGGAACTGATAACAGGACACTGCCAACTCAATAAACATCTTTTTAACATAGGTCACACGGACAGCGCCCTCTGCAGAGCGTGCCTCCAAGAAGATGAAACACCAGCACACATTCTAACTGAATGTAGTGCACTGGAACAATTACGCAAAGAAAAACTCGGCCCCCACAGACCGATCCCAGAAATCTTCCAGGACACCGGCAGCCTGCTAGACTACTGGGACGCTCTGGGATGGAAAGAATAACACACACAGCAGCACAAGCTCACGCACAACGGGCAAAGATGCCTAAGTGCGGAAAAAGCCGTGTTAGAAGAAGAAGAAGAAGTAAATGAGGACATTATATTATGTCAACAAATGATAGTACAAATACTGAAATTAACTTGATATTGAGCAAATAAAACTTACTTTGTAAGCTATCATTCCTTTTAAGAGATGTATTGTCATATATATTGACAGGTTCATCAGGTATTTGAACTATGGAATGAGGTGTGCTTGCTGCTGATCGATTTAAGGACTCATCATCACTGGCCCCAACAGGTGTCCCTCTTTGATTATCCATTATATTTGTAAAGTATTGATTGTGATTAGGAGATTGGCTACGTCTTCCAGCTGCACCTTTTAAATCTTGGTCTTCAGAAAGCTATATAAAGTTAAAATGACATTTATTATTTATTCTTAAGATTAGGAAGTAATAATTTAAATTAATTATTGAATTAAATATTTTCTGTGTGTTTGTGTGGAAGTTATAAAATAATTATGCACTAACCAAGGGTAATCCTAAACCAGCCCTAGCCCAATTGACACCAGCCAGTTTTTCTCTTAGCACATCAGCGACTGGAGATACAAGATTTGAAGGTGGAAAAACAGGGGATGCACAAGAAGGACATTGATATCCAGCAGGGGCTGTCGTGCGAGGCAATGCGCGATATCGAGATTCTGCGCACTCCCAGTGAAATACATCTAAAAGGTTAACATTTTTAAGTAGTATGAGATAATACCTTCATAGTTAAAACATATTTATTGGTAACAACAGGAAATCACTCACGATAACATGTAAGTCGTATACATTCCCCGTCTGCTAAACTATTCGTACATATTTCACAAATCGGATTATAATCACTGTCTTGTAACCACTGAAGATATGATTGTATAATACACTAAAACATACAAATTTTATTTATTATAAAATATAGTTTAAATAAATACTTTTAAAGTGATTTTAGGAGTTAATTACCTTAGGATGATTCGTTACCATACAATATTCACAAACATTTACTCTATGTTCAAAACAGAATTGGTTTGTCACTCTCCTTTTTGGGCACTTACAAAGACCCATTATTTAATAATTTATATCCTCAATCTAAGTACTATAAACAATATGTAATATGCATTTATTTGCTTTTATCCACACTCTATGATGTGATAATTTAATCTTAAATCTCAATATCGGCAATTTCAATCTGTCAGCCACGTAAATGAAATGTCATTTGTCATTGTCAACAATCAACATAATTATAGATATAAGTTACAACTAAAATATTATTGTCCAAAATAGAAAAAATCCTGAAAAAAAATGTAAATATTTCTTTGTCACGACATATTTATTTTATATTATTACTAAATCTAGAGAAATGTATGTAATTTATACAAAATATAATTGTAAAATAGATGATGACGTATATTGCACTCTGACTGATTTTTATTACTGGTAGCCCTGAATGTAATTTGAAGTATCATTGTCAAATGTTTAATGTCAAATCACAAATGTCAATTATCAAATTAATGTAATCAATGGACATACTAAATAGTATTGTGATTTGTTAGAGATTTTCATTAAAGCAGAGATCATTATCTCAGTTTCATAAATAATAATGGCTACTAAGTTATTAGCACTCAGAAATGTAGTCAATAAACCACTAAATTTATTTATAAACAATATATCGCAATATCAGTATGAATATAACCTAAAAAAATTTAGTACAACTACCATTGCTTGTGTTAACTTTTTTAATAAATGTTAGTGTTATTAATAAAAGTTAAAGGTTTAAAAACTAAATATTTAAGGATAAAATATTTCCAAATGTTTATTTTAGTGCCTGCAGAAAAATTATGGAAATCTGTAACATCTGTAAGTAATGCTGGAGCAAAAAAGGGTCGTGGTAAAGGTACGGGAAGAATTCGGATTCGAGATTTAAATCGCGGTCAAATGATTGGCATTGGAAAAATTAACATGTTATGGCCAGGCTTGTCAGCACCTGTTATAAGAGGAAGAGAACTGCTTAAACAACAAAGATTACCAGATGATCCAGAAAGGTAAACATGTAAATTATAAGTTAAATAATTTATTATAACTTTGAGCAAGTCCTATGTTTTACAAATCATATGAAAATCAATAGATACCTTCATAATATTTTTTGTTTCAGAATGGAAAAACTGATAAAATTAAGAGATTCAATGACCAAATTTCGTCGCATGAGATTAAGCCCAATTGAAAGGGGTTGGTCAGGTTCTCGAATGCCAGGTCGCAGCATTGGACCACCAGATGCTGTTGTAGATGGTTTGTGTTAAAAAACATGATTGTTTTTAGTAACTTTTTGTAACAATATATTTTATGTAAAATATATTTCCTTTTCATACAGAGGAGTTCACTGGTTTTGATACTAAAGTTCTTCAACTTAGATCTCTTCTTATCATGAAAGGCAGTTTGGGTCGTACAAGAAATTTTCAAGCTATGGTATGGATTAATAAAATATTTCTGTAATCAAAATATTAAGCTTTATTTTTATGTGTCCATATTCTGTCTAAAATGTATTCTTTTAAGGTGGTCACAGGTAATGGCCAAGGCCTTGCAGGATTTGGTATTGGTAGAGCAAAGGAAGCACCTGCAGCACTTAGAAAGGCAAAGAATAGGGCTGGAAAGAAATTGATGAATTTTGAAATATACAATGGACATACTGGTACATATTTATTGTTATTATGCAAAAATGCATTTTTTTTCTAAGTTTTATATCAATTTTTTTTTGCTTTCAGTTTTTCATGATTTCTTCACAGCATTTGGTAGAACTAAAATATATGTTCAAAAGAAAAATGAAGGTTATGGTTTAATGTGTCACAGAGCTATCAAAGAGATTTGTCAAGCAATAGGAATTAAGGATCTTAGAGCCAAGCTTGAAGGCTCCAATAATTTACAGCACATTGTCAAAGCTTTCTTTATTGGACTTTTGCAACAGGTATGAAAGAAGAATAAGTCATTTTTGTTATACATCTTTAATCCCTCCACCACGGTGAACACGCTGGTGTTACAGTTAACAATAGATTTCTTAGAAATTTCATTAATTTCTTAGAAATTTACCTGGAGATGTTAATAATAATTTAAAATATTCAGAAAGATATTAGTTTTCCAAAATCGTTATGTATCGTATTTTCAGAGAACACACCAACAACTTGCTGAAGAAAAGAAATTACATTTAGTAGAATTCAGAGAAGAAAATGAGAACTATCCTACAGTTGTTGCCAGTCCTTCATATGTTAGAACAAAAGAGGAGATATCTAAAGATGAGACCCTGGACTTCACTCAATATGTGATGAATGATAAAGTAATCCTACAGAGAAAGAAATTCCCAAGATTTTATGAAACAATGCCACATTATGAAATCTTCCTTAAAAAATATGAAAAATATAGGAACCATGAAAAGATACGTCTAAACTTGAAAACTGAATATGGTGAAGTAAAAAGTTTCCTGAATGACAAGTACCCTGAGGAAAAAGTTGAAAAAGATTCTTAACAATATTTTCAATTTAAATATAGTTAGATGTAGAATAATTTGTGATTGTATATTATTAAAATAAAAGTGTTACAAAATATATTGTTTTATTTTGACTTAATATGTATATTTATAAATGACCTTATATGAGCTTAGTTGGTGAAACATAAATGAAACATTTGCAGCTTTGCTTATATTATGTATAAAGGCCCAGTCATATTTGTATTATATAAAGGGTGGAACAAACAAACGGGACAGGGAAGAAAAGTACCTCATATATTTAACATATCTAGTAGGAAATATTTTTGTATTTGTAAAAAATAGGAATAACTGCATTATTATTATTTTTTAAGTTTATCTGAGCCGAAAGCCGACTTTTATTAAATTAAATGATAGGGTGTAATGTAAGGATAAAATCTTTAAAATGTCATGTAATTTTATAATTCGTTATTCGAAAATAACGGCTCTAGCATCGTGGAAAAAACGACGGAACGAAAATGGAAGAAAAGTAGTATAAATAATGAAAATATCTTTTTATTCTTCATGATAAGAATAATATATATTCTAATGTGTTATTACATACATGGTGATATATTGTGATATTTATATTGCAAAGGCAGTGGTAGTCCAGTGGTAACGCGCCGGGAAACCGAGTGAAGCGGGTTCAAATCCCGGGTCTCGCACCTCTGATATTTTCATGTGCGAATCATTTCCAACATGATTGTCACTTGTCTTAACGGTGAAGGAAAACATCGTGAGGAAATCTGTATATCTGAGAGAACCTAGCAAGTTTTCAAAATACGTGAAATCCGCCAACCTAATTGGTCAGCGTGGTGGACTATGGCCTGACCCCCCTCGTATTGAAGGGAGGCCTGTGCCCAGCAGTGGGACGTTAAAAAAAGGGCAGTATACATATGTACATATTGTGTACTAATCATCACTTTTTTTGAATGAAACTTTATTTGAATTTGTAAAATGAAAAATATGTTTATTATTTAATTATCTTTTATTTATTTATAGTTTTATCATAAAAGGAATACAATTTTTAATTCATAATTTTTAACCTTTTACTTCACTAGCCTATACAATATCACTAGTAGAAGGTACTTTTGCTAGCTTTACATAAATAAATGTTATCATACATAGCTGTTAAAACAATAAAACCTTATGTTTGTTTACATGTAATGTAATAGAAAAAAAATAATAATATTTTTAATATTACTTTTGTATTTTTGTCATGGCACCCACTATCATTCCAATTTTAATTAAAATTATTAAAAAATATTTACACCTATATTTATACCTAGGAAATATAAGCAATTAAATGCTCCAAAATGCCAGTCCGATTTGTTTAGAAAATCAAGCACCATTTTAATATGAACTAATTAAGCAAGCCTTCACAAAACACAACGAAGCAAAGGTACTGGTACTGCTTAATTTACAGTGATATGACTTGAGTTTCTTAAATAACTTTGTATTTAGTATAAAAATATATTTGAACATTTGTTTGAAATTTTCATCCTATATTTTTCATTATGTTTTGTCTTGTAAGTTCACTTCGCAGTATTTGGCTCGTCATTGTAATTGAGTATGATTATAATATTTAAAAAGAGATCTAATCGATGATATCTTTATGTTCTCATTCTGAAGGATCTGAAACAAGAAAAGACATTTAATAAAAATATTTGGTTGGGGCTACCAGTCACTCACCCTAGCGTCGCTTCGGGTTCGTCCCTAGACAAAAACAAATCTATCCCACGGGAACCGTACAGTTAATTAAAGTCGTCGCGGGACACATGGCAGATGTGAAACATCGCAACTATTTTGTATATAAAATACGTATGACAGATGGTTTTTAAAGGCAGTAAATGTAATATAATAAAAAAACAAAATATTCAGATTTTTTTTAAAGAAAAAATCATTATTTAAAAAAATACGAGATCCTCGCGGTGTGAGAGAAAAGAGGGAATCGCCGAGCCAAGAGCCTGTTTAACTCGCCGCATTAGAAGTTTCATATATCATTTCAAACATAGCTTACTCGCGTAGCATCCAGCTAGCGATACTTGTATTAAAAAAACAACCAGACATGTGTCGCTCACAGTTCATAGCTCACCAGCGCTGCCAATTGGCGGGTAAATTACCCGAAAAGCGAAACTCGAAAAATTTTAGGTAATTTTTGATGACGGGTATTTTCATTGAGCGGGGTCAAAGCAGGTATTTTAGTTTAGCTGATTAATTTGATATTTAAAAGTACATATTTTTATGTTTGATTTAATAATTTAAAGCTATTTAATTGAGAACTGCTTACAATGACTTCTTTTTCTAACATTAGTACAGTAAAACCCGTTTAAAACGATTTCACAGGGACCCAACGAAAAACGCGTCTTAAGCGAGAAAGCGTATTATGCGGGATAGGGAAAATAAAACGTACTGCATATTATTGTATATTATGTTCTAATTTGTATATGTAATTATGTATTTATTAAATTATACATTTCTAAATTATATTAAAAACATAGTCTAATAATAATTACGGCATTTAAAGTAATCACTTATTTTAGTTTGATTGAAAGATGCATTAGCTATCACAAGATTTTCAATATAATTGTGATTTCTACTCTATTTTTTAAAATGGTACGTAACGTAGAAACTGGTAACTGAAGCTCAGCAGCTAACTGAGTTTGATTTGTTGTTTGTGATTTTTCATCAAAAACTTTCAATATCTCAATTTTTTCTTGAAGTGACAATGCCTTTCGCTTAATTGTAGTCATTTTGTAACAAACAAATGATGCACTATTACAAAAGAGTCAGAACGCGCACGTGACAATATGTAAGTCAACAAATGACGACTGGACAGTGGACTGGTTAAACGGCGCACGGGCGGTGCGGGCGAGCCAGCAGAGGGGCTTGCGTTCGGCATTCGAGCTCGGCTCGGTCAGAGACCGTTACCCGATGCCATATGCCACAAGGAATAGAATAATAGGTATTAGGTTGTTGGCATATTAGGCGTATTAAACGGGATGACGAATCGTATTAAGCGTTATGAAATGTATGAAAACATGTCTCAAGTTGCAGGGACTAGCTAAAATGGCGTATTATGCGAAAAATCGTATTAAGCGTGATCGTATTAAGCGAGTTCTACTGTATTTCCTTTTATTCTATATGAAACATAAATAAATTACTTAAAAAAAACCTATTTTGGGTATTCTGCTCACGATTGGCGCCGGCGGGATGAGCCGAGTACTTAGTGGTTTATTGGTCGGGTAAATCAACGAGTGTTAACCGGCAGCGCTGCAGCGCACGTACGGGACGCACCGTCAATCCGCCGCCACTTGTCGGCGTGGTCGCGGCGCAGGTGCGGCGCGAGGTGCGCGCGCACGCCGCCCAGCACGTCGGCCGCGCCCGCCGCCGCCAGCGCCAGCGGCGCCACGGCCGCGCCCGGCAGCTGGCGCAGCACGGCGCCGCGGTTGCGCCGCGCCGCGCTGCGGAACGTCGCCGCTGTCTCCGTTAGCCCCTGCGAATTGTGTTCATACAATATGTTAGTATATAGGGTTTTAAAAAACTGAAAAAGATATATATTTCTCTTACGAATTATGTTAAGAGAATATGTAAGGACATAGTCTTATATTTATAAAAAAACATAGGCATATGCGTGACATAGTTGAAAAATGTGTTTTCTATTAAAAAAACTTTGAGTTAATAACAAGTAGTCAAATATGATGTAAATAATTTTATTTTGGGTATTTACGTATTACGTTTTTAGAATATGGATTATGTAATAGCGTAAGGTCAATAAATATTTTAAAGATATATAATTAAAATATGACATTACATAATATATGAAAATATAGTTATTAATGATTATATGAAATTTAAATTCTTCAAAAACATATACTTTCTAATTTAATCAATAATTCAATTTTCTTGTTTTTTGCCATGAGGCTTCAAATCGTGCCAATCGAGATCTCGTAATTAAAAAAAAATAAAACTAGAAGAATAGCATAAAATTAAGGCGGATCAAGTTCTTTGTAAGATGTGGCTCACTATAAGCCATTATAAAAAAAAAGCACTAGCACACAACCGTTAGAAAAAAAGCCGGCAAGTTATCTCGCACAGTGTTGTACACGCTGGCGACACCCTATTACCCCGCAATTTTAGTAAGACTCTCTAGTCCTCTGTTCATTGATTAAAAATTAAGCGCATTCCCCTACGATGGTTTTCCCAATAAAACAAAATAAGACAATAGGTTACCTCTCGCACTGTGTTGTATGCGCTGGCCACGCCCTCGCGTATGTCCGCGGGCTGGCGCGCGGGGTCGCGGCGGCGGCGCGCGCGCCGGGCGCCCGCCAGCGCCGGCGTGGGCGTCGGCGTCAGCATGTCGAATGCTGTCTCTGCTGTCGCCTGAGAGACGTTTTTTACATTATTTGTTAGTTACAATAAATAATTAAAATCTATACTAATATTATAAAGAGGTAAAGTTTGTGACTTTATGAGGTTGTAGGGGGTAATGTCTGGGTCTACTGAACAGATTTAGATGAAATTTGGTAAGAAGATAGTTTGAGACCCTGGGAAGGACATAGGATACTTTTTATCCCGGAAATCAAGCATTAAGAGGGATTTAAATTAGGATGGAAGAAGAACTAAACTTAAAAAAATTCACACATTCATTATAACTGATTCTGATAAATCTCATAACCTGGTGGTCTCCCACCTCCCGTACAAGCACTAGGCAATCGTCCTTGCGAATATGACAGGTGTACATGGATGAACACGCGGTAATCTGGGTGACGGGCCGCATTTGGGTATCTTTCGCGGTACAATCTGGCTGCAGCAGAGGCATTACAACGGCATTCACCGTAGATAAAATGCATATTGGCATATTCTTTCGCTGTGTACACATACGGCATGTTAATGAGTCCAGGGAAACACAGCCAAATTCACACAGATGCAGTATCAAGTCCAGGGTAATAACACAACATATATAAGATGGGCAGTAAACGAAGGAACGAAGCGTACTG